CGTATGGCAAGCCTTCGGAAGAGGTCAGTCCCTGGAGGAGGACATCCTGTGAGGACGGGTAGTGGGGCAACGAGAGAGGTCCGTCCTCCAGAAGAGACTGACGCCAAGGCTGCAACAATGGCTCAGGCACGATCGTTGAGGGCAGCGCAGGACCACGCGGTTGGTTCATAAGGTTGCTATGAGTGGGAGCCAATTCCACGGCACCTGATAGCAACAACAATCTACGGCCATGTAAGCCCACGTGGCACCTGGTACCCGGTAGGACAGAGTGCATGTGCTCCTGAGGGTTTGCAGACACCCTTCCCTATCTCCCGCGTTCTGAGAGGCTGCTGGGTTGGAGCAAGCTCTCTCTAGACACAGACACACACACACACACACACACACACACACACACACACACACACACACACATGGCTGGTCTTGCTTCTCGAGGGCCCAGCCTAAAGCACACTGGGCTCCTGGCAATGAACATACTCAACGAGGAGCATTACATGTAGCATTGCTTCGGGGTTCTATATGATAATGTAAGTTTTTTTCAGTTCTTATTTTCCACAAGTCAAGATGCAAAGTCTTATTCTTTTTCCTTGAATTAATTATAATGACAATACATGAATAGCCTTGAAAATTTGCTAAACATTTAACAATTTCTGTTACAAAATAAAATCTACTACATACCTAATTGGAAATTGAATAAATCAAACAAGCAAAAATATCCTGTTAATAGAAAACAGTATAAAATACTATAGTTCAGAACTAATTTTGATGGCAACACTAATAAGAGCCTGCAGAATTGTACTTTCTCTAATGCTCTTGTAACAAGCCAATTAAACACTGACGTGAACATGAGTGTTTTGAACACACTGATTTCTGTACACTGGTTATGCCTTCGGGCTGCTAACCACAATTCTAACCCACCAGCCACGCTGCAAGAGAAAAATGAGGTTAACTACAACCAGAAAGATCTAGTCTCAGCTCAGTTCTTCAACAGTCAAGGGGACCAGAGAACTCGATGGAATTTGGTGCCGAAAGAAAGATCCACCATGCTGGTGTCATTGACTTATCACAAAGCACCTCATTTATCCACTATGATCAAGTAGGGGGGGTTTGGTGAAGGGTTCTGAATACATTCCTCTTCATCCCTCCCAAAATCTGGAAATCCTGATTCTAATGAACTATTACACCAGTTTTAACATCTTCCTCCTGCTATGTTTAAAAAAAGTAAATTTAAGAAAACCATTTTAAAATTATGCACAGTTGCAGCCTGGGAAACTTAAAGTGGCGCCTGATAATATTAATTTCAGGAGATGTATTTGGTTCATTTAATGCAACTGGTAATTGCAAACTCCACTTTGCCCGTGTAAGTGACTGCTACCTTGCTGGCCCTATGAAATTCTGCACTTGATATTTCGTGTCCACACTGCCTTCACTGCTTCCGGCAAGAGTTCTGCCTTAGCACTCAGATGCAGTTCTTCCCTCTGTCTCGCCTGTTCATATGCTTTCATTGAGGGCCAGAGGGCAGACTCTGTTACTTTTTAAATTACAGAAATGTATAATAGACAAACCATTTCCTTATGTTGATGGCCACCTGTTAAGATGTTATTTTTCATATCATTTATAATCTTGTCAGTTAGATTTCCATGAAAATTTTCTTCCAGAGCCATTTTTTTCCCCTAGGATGTGAGCAGGGGGTAACTTTACTATAATTAGTACATATAGTGCAGTATTTCATACAAATGAGATGTGCCAGAAGCGTGATAATTTAAACGTATTTAAACAAAAACAAGAAAGGACGAATGCTCAAATGTACTGCTGCTTAGGCCACTGCAGCTTCTAGAACCCAACTTCTTTTACTGATTTAAAAACAAAATTAAACAGTTGCACCTGAAATCAATCCTGTTTTTTTCCACCAGTAGCCACCTGGTCCAGTTCCGTGTCCTGTAAAACACAGGCGCTAGAGGCCTGGTGTAGCTTGTTTGACCTACCACAGGAATGAACTGGTCTATTTCAAGACCCTTATCTTGAATTGGCCACACACAGTTCCCTGACCAATGAACTGAACAGCTTTGTCTGAGGTAACAAGGTGGGGGTGGGGGTGGGGGTGGGGGCTATCTTCCCTATTGTCAGTCGAGGTTTTGAGCTTCTCAGGGTAGAGGCCATTTATCTTTGTAAACACAAAAACTTTTGCTTTCTCCAACTTACTGTTAATGGTGAAGGAATGAAAGGGAATCGTTTTACTAATTTTTCAAGAAAAGAAAAAAAAGATTTAGTCTCAGAAACACAAGGTCTGCTCTAGAGTTACTGAGTCGGAATGAAGTCTGCAGCAGTGGGTGTATTCATGTTCAACGGAATATGG